TATTTTTGGGACAGAGAGAGACAGAGCATGAACGGGGGAGGGGCAGAGAGAGAGGGAGACACAGATCGGAAACAGGCTCCAGGCTCTGAGCCATCAGCCCAGAGCCCGACGCGGGGCTCGAACTCACGGACCGCGAGATCGTGACCTGGCTGAAGTCGGACGCTCAACCGACTGCGCCACCCAGGCGCCCCAAGTCTGGTTATTTTTAAGAAGGCTTAGGACTGAACCCTTCTTTCCTTAACTTGGGAAGAACGAGCAAGCTTCTACAGAAGATGGGTTTTCTTTAACGTGTGGGAACTTTGTCTTTTGAAAGACTTTTTTGAAGAAAGACACTGAAGAAAAGCAAATACCTTGGCGAGAGGTGTTTTGCGCAGTGAAATCAGGCCCCAGGGAGTGGGAGCCTCCTTGCAGAAAGGAAAGGTTTGCTCTGAAGCGGCTCCCGAAACAGTTGGCTTCTGTGAGAACTGATTTAGTAGATCTCTGTGTTTAGACTTTATGTCACTTTGTTACAAGTAGAAACGGACGGAAGACTTGCTACATTTTGATGCTTCGCTTTCGCTTCCTAGACGGAGGATAAAAACCGCCAGTTGCAGGAGCGCCTGGAGCTGGCGGAGCAGAAGCTGCAGCAGACCCTGAGGAAGGCCGAGACGCTGCCCGAGGTGGAAGCCGAGCTGGCCCAGAGGGTGGCCGCCCTCTCCAAGGTGGGGCCCGCCCTTCCCGCTGGGTCCGATGGCGGGATGGCGATGTTCACGGTGGCCTGTTCGCGTTCCTTACCTGTCACTGTTCACGTCGGCGCGCCCAAGTCCGCGAAGCAGCTCAGATCTGTTTTCCGTGCTGCTTTGAGATCGGAACGCTTTTCAGATGCCAGGCAGCTTCCCCGTTTCTGTTACCTCCGGTTTTGTCAGCTGTGTGCTGTTTCCAGTTGGCTCGATCTGAGACTCGCTGCTTCTCAGAGTTAAGTCAGCGTCTCAAAGCTCAAGATAGCAGCCTTGGATAAGAGAAGGACAGGGGTGCCCAGCTGGCTCAGTCGGTGGAGCGTGGGACTCTTGACCTCAGGGTTGTGAGTTTGAGCCTCCTGTTGGGTGTGGAGCTTACTGAAAAAAATAAATAAATAATTTTTAAAAAGGATACAATTTTTCTCAGAAATAGGAACATCCTCTTCTGTTTTAAAAATAATCAAAATAAATTTGTAACAGTTTTTTTTATTAAAAAATTCTTTTGATGTCCATTTATTTTGAGAAAGAGAGGGAACGTGTGCACGTGCTCGAGCAGGGGACGGGCAGAGAGCGAGAGAGAGAGAGAGAGAGAGAGAGAGGGCCAGAGGGAGAGAAAATCCCAAGCAGGGTCCATGCTGTCGGCACAAAGCCGACACGGGGCTCGAACTCACAAACCGTGAGATCATGACCTGAGCTGAAACCAAAGGTCAGATGCCCAACTGACTGAGCCACCCAGGCATCCCTGTAATAAGTAAATTTTGAAGTAATTCGTTCACTGGTTCAACAAATACAGACGAGGCCTGTGCCAGACACAGTCCCTGCCCTCCCAGCTCTCACAGCCCTCACCACCCACGGGGGAAGCCAGCGGTTGAAGAGGCAGTTTCCAGACGTGACGTGGTCGGTGCTGGGATCGAGTGATCCACACGGGCCGAGAGAGCACATGACCCGGCAGACGGTCCAGCCTTCCGGGGCCTCGGCCGAGGGAGCCTAACGCAGGGAACCTGTCCATGCTTCTGTCTTACCGGCTCCCGTGCAGTGAGGGCCCCACTGGGAAGGCGTAGGCAGGGGATGCTGACCCTCATGGCTGACGTCGGGTCGGGCAGGTGGTACCGGGCGCCCACAGACCGACAGCTCCAACAAAGCCTCTCCTCTCCTTTGTGATCTGCGTGTAAAATCTCCGTTTCTTTTCTCCCCTGTCCTCTCTCCTGTCCCCGGTCGGCCTTGTAGTCCGACCCTTTATCTTCTGGACACTCTGCTGCTGAGGGAGCTAAACTGTCGGAACTCGCTTCCCAGCTTAGGAAGGTAGCACGTGTGCGTTGCTCTGTCCCGCTTGCTGCTCCCTGCTGTCCGTGCTCAGGGACCACGGGCGTCTGCCGGGGGAGGAGGCACCGTCCACGGATCCGGGGCCCGGGGTGGGGACGAGCACGTTGCCGAGCCCCGGTCACCAGCTTGGAGGCCCACCGCTTCCCACTGGCACGCGTGAGGCCGGTAGGGCGTGTGAGCAGGCGGAAGGCCGCTCACGGCATGTCGTGCGTAGGCACAGCGTGTGGCGCGGGGCGGCCGGCTCTTCTGACCCCGATGTCGCCCACAGGCCGAGGAGAGGCATGGCAACATCGAGGAAAGGCTGCGGCAGATGGAGGCCCAGCTGGAGGAGAAGAACCAAGAACTGCAGCGGGTACGTGTCCGAGCGGAGCGGCCGCGCACCTGGCGGTGGCTGAGGAGGAGGCGCAGGCCGGGGGTGTGGGGGTGGGGAGCGGTGCCTTGTTTCCCACTTCTCCGCACGGGGACGCCAGGCCCCCTCTCGCTCCCATCAGGGGTACAGTGGCCTCTGGTGCCAGTTGGACGCTGGTGAGCGCTCCTAGCATGTAGGCGATGTTCTCCGGACGCGGGGGCCCCGTAGGCAGTGCCGCCCGGGGTGGAGGCACCCGCACAGCCCACGGTGCCCACCAGCTCGTCGGCAGCTACTCGCGGTGCACGCGGGACCTTGCAGGTGCCCCTCGGCCAAACCAGAGGTGCTGGCCTGGGATGAGGCCCGTCCTAGAGGAGTAGTCTGCTTGCTTAGGACGTGACATTGAGGTCCTGAAATCAGGTCACAGGCCTGACCTTGGTCCCCACATCCTGAATGACTACTCGAGACGGAAAGGCGTGGGTCGGGGTGGATGTTCCTAAGAAGAGGAATAGCGTAATCGAGCCTTGACGAAAGGGAGGCCCGTGTCCCTTGAATCCCCTGAGACTTTTCCCTGGAGGAGCTGGTCGAAGGGCCACATGAAACACCCAGGAGACAGACCAGGCAGCGGCCACCCCGCCTTGGCACGTCCATCCAAGGCTGTCAGGTTTTGTTTTCACCAGAAACTCATGTGCTTGGCCCTAGGTCACAGAGCATCACACATGAGTTTCCGGGCAGTGAAGGTCCTGACGCTAGCACGAGATCACGTGTCGGCCAACCCCGGCCTCCCATCACACGCGCGCGCACAGGCAGACGCGAGCCTCTTGGGCCAAGAATTTGACCTTACTTACTTAGAGATGCACTTCATTACTTTCAGGACTGGATTATAGTTTGAAAGGACAGGTGTTGAGATAAGGATTCTTCTATAACCGAGGCAATTCCAAGGAAACTTCTCAGCTGTTTTGCTTGAAAAATACGTGGGTGCTGACCCCTTCTTGGGTGGCCAGGGTCTTTTCCAAGTGATGGCCGTTGCCGTGGGTTAGGTGTGACGGTCGTGCTTTCTGTTCACTGCTCCCAAGGGAAGAGGTGTCAGCACGTGTGTCTTACAGATGAGGGAACGTAAGCAGGGGCGGGGGGGGTGGGGGTGGTGGTGCTGACCGTTGCCCAGCCTGTGGCGTGTCCTGTGGGCTCCTCCTCCTACCTGGACCCCCTGGCTGCAGGGCGCATGTCCACCCAGGAGGAGCCCCCAAGTGCCGCCGGCCTGTTCCCGCCGCTTCTCTTTTGTGTTCGTCAGGATATGGGGCAGAAACGAGCTTTTTAACCTTGCAGTTGGTGACAGTTATATAAAACACAGACCCGTGAGCTTTGCTGTTACACTCGAAAGTTACTGGAGGTAATTAGTTCCCATTTTTCTAATACAAGTGTCCATTACAAAACATTCAGGTGATGTGTGAATATAAAGAAAACCAGATGAAAGTCTCTCTCACCACCGAATTTTTTCCAAAGTGGATTCTTTTTTACCTTTCGCTTTTGTCTGTGGATTCATTTCTTTCTCCCTGAAGCCGGATCCGAGCTTCTGTTTATGCACCGGGAGATTCCTCCTCCCGTGTGTGGATAAGCTGATGCCCTTAAAAGTTTGCTTGTTCCTGCGTGTACATCTGCCTCCTGAGCCCATCTGAGAGCTCATAATCCGGACATTCCTGAGGCCCCCTGCGTATTTCGTTTCCCAGAAACAACGGGACCTTCTAATGGACGATCCCTTGGAGGCACGTTCCTGTGGTTCTGTGCCCCGCTAGGTCGGTTCCGGCCGTGACGCACAAGCGCGCCCAAGAAGGCCGTGGGAAGGGGCAGCCGAGGACGAGGACGCCCTTGGCACGCCCTCGGCGCGTCTGCGCTGGTGATCGCACTTTGGCTTGAAGCTGGTGTCTCCTCCTCCAGGCACGGCAGAGGGAGAAGATGAACGAGGAGCATAACAAACGTCTGTCGGACACTGTCGACAAGCTCCTCTCCGAGTCTAACGAGCGGCTGCAGCTTCATCTGAAGGAGAGGATGGCCGCTCTGGAAGACAAGGTAGGACGGGACAGGCGGCGGCTGAGGGCTCCCGGCCTCACACAGGAGCCCCCTCGCGTTGTTCTTCACCGCGGAAAGACCACAGACCGTTTCCCACTCCCCGCTGAGTTCCCAGTGTCCCGTCCCTGCCCGACGTACGTGTGTGGGCAGGTGTGTGTTACTGTCTAGAAGAGAAGTCTGGTCTGGGAAGGGCCCCCGAGAGGGAGCACTTTAGGCTTTTGCTAATTGAGACTTAAGGAGTAAGGTAGCTTCGTGCTAATCAGTAAATGGCGCAGAGGTAGCCACAGACAGTACATAACTAAGTGGAGTGGCCGTGGGCCGATAACCCTTTATTTACAGGACCTGGCGGTGGCTGGATGTGGTCGGCAGGCCCTCGTTGGCCAGCCCCACGCTGGGACCTGTGTTCGGTCCAGCCCTCACCTGGTCCTTGGCGTGGGGAGCTGATTTCTAACCTCGTGTATGGAGAGGACGCTGTAGGAGTGCGCTGTTATGTAAGGCATTTAATCAGCTGAAAACAGGTTCTCCCGTTCCATTTCCCGCCTTCTCTCTTTTCATCTGGTTTGGAAAAAGTCTAAGCCTGGACTGTTACACAGTCATCATGGAAACACTTTAGCTGTAACAGGAGGGAAGGAGTCTCATAGGATCTATGCCAGAGAAGCTCTGGTGGAAACAGTTGGATTCGGACCTGATAAAACCGTTCTGGCTACACCCGTGTCCCTGAAGATGAGCCCAGAATTTTCCCTGTGATTGGCACTTGGAGACACCAGTGAGCACTGCTAATTACATGACGCACTTATTTTGCATAAAAACCATTAGGAAGTGCATCATTACACCCATGTAGGGTTCTTACCTCGCTGCCTCCTTGATCTCTGGGCCCAGCCTTAAGGTAGAGTAGTTTTGTCTTAGATTGGAAATACACGTATGAAACTTAGGTCGTGTTTCCCAAGTGACCGGTGAATTACCCTAAAAGCTAGTACGGACCAGTTTAACTAATTAAAATAGACTTACGAACTTGTCGTACTTACGTTCAGAAACTGATCCGTGAAGAAATCGTACACGGACAAAGTATTACCAAAGGCTGTTCCTGTGGTTTCAAAGACAGCATTTCACTCTGTGGGCATGTGACCCTGTTCGCCGGTGTAGCCACACGGTCCGTTCCTTTTCTGTGCTGCGTTATTGTAAAGAGAAACATAGCTATGCTCTATGCACTGTTTTCGAGAATCAACAGTAAAGGACTGTCTGTGTCTTTCCCAGAACTCTCTATTACGAGAAGTTGAAAATGTGAAAAAGCGGTTGGAGGAAACGCAACGTGAGAAGGTACTTCCGTCTCTCGATCCTTCAGAGGTCCGCCGAGACCGGCAAGGGGCAGGTGTCCGCTGGGGCTCCCATTTCCCCCACGGCGGGCCACCGCTGTGCTTTCGAGCAGCCCCACGCTCGCAAGTCTGAACGGCACGCGTGTGGCAGAGCTGGAGCCGAGCAGCCTCTGGGGTTCAGATTTCGGAGTCCCTCCGGGGGTTCACTCGAAAGCTAAAGTGTTTGCGTAAACCTCTCGTTGAGTGCAGCGTCGCCCAGCAGGGAGGTAACAGGTGACACGGGTGTCATCCCAAGGATTCTCGCGGCTGCACTTGAAATCGTCAGACAGACGGGTGATGTTAGTTTTCATGCAGCCCGATGCAGGCAACATGTTATTGAATCGTGTAAATACTGTAGAAATGAAGGAACTACTCTACACTGTTTTTCCACATTCAGTCCTTGCAACCCACGGGGCGTCTCACAGTTCCATCCCCTGTGGTCGGGACGAGCCCCATTTTGGGCGCTCAGCCACGTGCGGCGGTGTCTGCTGCCTGGGACGGCACTGCCTAGGGGGTTGTTGTGTGACCGAAGCTCCTCGTCGGTTTTGCTCCCTGGTTTTGCGTGTGCAGAAGTGAGGCTGGGCTGCAGAGGGTCCACGAAGGAGCACGTGCCTATTGCACAGAAGGGCTATTCCCCCACCGCCCAGAAAGGCCTGCCCCTCTCTACATAATTAGGAAGAAGTGTCAGTGGCTCGGTGTTTCTCCTCTGTAACCTTGCTGTGCCTGAGACCTAAGTGTTCAGTAGGGTTTAGGACGTTCACTTGGGGATCCGGGTGTTTACTGTAGGACTCCTGGGGAGAATGGTCTTGGGGTTCGTAACTGCTGAATTTACCCATTGCGGTTATGGTGGTTGACATTTGAGCATACTGGATGCAGATAGCTTTTTCATTTTTTTTTTAATTGAATTCTAATGAACCTACAGTGTTGTATCAGTTTCAAGTAGACAGCATGGGGTTTCGGTAATTGTGCACCTTACTCTGTGCTCGTCGTCATCACTGTGGTCACCGTGTGTCACCATACAGAGTCCTTAGGGTATCACAGACCGTATTCCCTGTGCTGCGCTTTTCATCCCCGTGACTGCCTGATTTTATATCTGGAAGCCTATGCCTCCTAATCCCTGTCGTCTCTTTCGCCCACCGCCCTCACTCTCCTCCCCTCTGGCAACCCCCAGTTTGTGCTCTGTGTTTAAGGGTATATTGACGCAAGTGATCGTAAACCTTGCCTGCAGCGGGTGTCATTGTCATTTGCTGCTTTGCAGGATCGGCTCCTACTGAACGTGGAAGCACTGAGGGCTGAATTAGAGCAGGCGAGACTGAGAGGCTCTTCCCTTCACCACGGGTATGACATTTCCCGGTTCACAGATCTGTTGCAGATGCTTCCCTTTGCCACGAATATGACCTGAACCAGCCCACAGTTACACACTAGAACCGTGGGTGTGCTGTGGTCTGATGCGAACCAGCTCCCAGGTACTGATAGCTGATGGTGGGGGGCACTGCCTTCGCCATGGCTCTGACACGAACCAGCTCACAGACACGTGTGTTAACACCTGCTGTGTATCTTCGAGAACGAGCCCTTGGCCATATGGGCAGAGTGACCTGATGTGGCTCAGGGAGCCGGTAGCTTAGTAGCTGGTGAGAGGGAGAAGTAGAGCATCACTCCAGAGGATAGGCTTGGACACCCAGGAGACCGGGAGGCATGACAGGGCTCGCGGCCGCAGGAGGAGGTGTGGAAGGTAGGGAATGATCAGTTTCTGTTGTGGGTGGGTTAATTTGCACACCACCCCCCCCCGCCGCGCAGTGTGGCACTGATGGTTGGGGATAGGAGGGGTCCAGCATGCCAGGTGAGGGCCCGCGTGCCTGGGAGCTGTGGTCCCTTCCACAAGGCCAGTGGGGTCGCCATGGGAGTGGCCGCATGGCCATGATTGTGAGGGTCAGTTTGACATTCATGGCGTTAGCACAGTGCCTGTAGCTTGTTATGTTTTTGAAAAGACTCTGGAGAATGACGTGTAGTCACTTTAAGTCTGTTGGGACAACTGCGAGTCGCCTCTGAAGGAGTGAGTCAGCCGGCTTGTGAGCTGCGTCCCGCAGACAGTAATTGTCAGCAAGGTATTAAAAGGTTTCTTCGCTTCTTTGTAGGAAATAGTCACCGTGTGAGTGTCCCGCTGGAGCGAGAGTCGCTCGAGTAGCTGACTGGGCCCCCTCAGGTGCAGGGAGCAGGCTCCTGCTCCGAAGGCAGGCCCGCGCGGGCCGCACAGGGGTTTGGGTGGCTGCAGACGGGGGCTCTCGGGAAGGTCGAGGGTGTGCTGTGGCTGTCCCTGTTGAGCCTGCTCGTAGGAAAGAGGAGAGGTCAGCGAAGGTCGGGTCGCGAGAGGCTCTCCCTGTCCGCGGAGCCACTGGTGGCACAGCGAGTGTGTGTCCAGAGAGGGAAGGGCACGGGAAGATGAGGGCACAGGGCAGCCTCTCGGTTGGCTGATGGAGCTCCTCGCCGGCCGGAGGCCGGTGTCGCCGCTCAAGGGCTTGAAGGCGCGTATGTGTGAGGAGGCCAAGCGAGCAAACGGGAGCAAAGCAGACGCAGCACGGGCCACTGGCGTGCACCTTGGAGTTCTCCAGGGAAGGGGCCGTGCAGGCACCTGGAGGCTGGCACCGTGGGGCAGTTGCGGTAACAGGGAAGTCCACGCCCGTCGCCCACCTGAGGCGTGCTGGCCAGCGAGAGGGATAGAGAGGGGCCGTGCGCTCCCGTGGTGCGGAGGGAGCAGCCGCGGTCACGGGTGGCCCTGCGGTCTGCAGACGGCGGCAGGAGGCCGGTCGGGAACGGGGTCTGTTTGAAGCCGTCTCACATAGCGCTCTCCCGTGTGGCGGCGGAAGACACGCTGGTGGGAGCTGTGTCGCCGTGAGCACGGGCGGCCGCGGGGACGGGACTGAGGAGGTGGCAGGCAGCCCGGCCAGCCGAGCCCTCCTGGCACGACCTCACAGCCAAGTCTTGTGTCGTGTCCTCCTCTAGCAAGACGAGACGGTCTGGGTTGCGGAGGAAAAGAAAGGTGACGGACCGACTTCCACACGCCGGCGGGGCAGATGGGACAGAGCTCTGGGATAGGACTGGATGCAGGGTGGCTGGGCCGGGGGCCCGGGAGCCCGAGACAGGGTGTCAGAGTCAGGGGACACTAGTGAGCCTCGGAGGAGCCACGAACCATCCCAGACCACACGCGGGGTGTCACGTGTAGCTCTCACCGGTTGGCGACGTGCCGTGGCCCCGCAGCGGTGACGCTAGGCCACCTGAGCGCAGGTGAGCAGTTCCGCCGGGAATAGGGGGACAGGAGGAGGGAAGGGTGGCTGTGGCCAGCGGGCAGTTAGGACTTGGCTGTCTTACAAACAAGCAGTACCCTGGGGCAGCGTCTCTTGAAGACGTTTCTTTAAAGGCCGCAGAGAGGAGCGCAAAGCACGCAGAGGAGACGTCCTGTCACGCGGGCTCTGTCTGCAGGCCTCGCAGGGCGGCGCCCGGGGCCCCCTCTTTAGCTGATGTGAATCCGATGGGAGTGTTCTGTCTCCCGAGACCATAAGGATTTCTGAAACAGAAGGCAGCCTCTCTTCTTTTCCAGAGAGCAAGGAGCCACTGGACTCCCGTGCAGGGTTCAGGTGTAGAGGGTGAGCCCGTGGCTGAGGCTGGGCATGTGGGCTGGCGGGTGCTCCTTCACCTCTGCTGACCGCTTCCTGCCCGGAGCCTTTGCTGAGGGGGGCAGGTGACAGCCCATGTCAGTGACCCCATCCGAGGGGCTCAGGGCTCCGTCGAACTTTTCTGGAGACTTCTGTGGCCAGGGGGGACGGTTGTCTGTCCGTCTAAGCGGACACAGGCCAGAGACGCTTTTGCCTTGGAAACACCGGGCGCATTGCCACCTCCCGTCCATGGGAGCTGCAAGCTGCGGTTCCCGAGGATCCTGCCATGGGTGCCCCTGAGGTGCCGGTTAGTGGCAAGAGGAGGGATGCCTGGGGTCACCTGGCCTCGCAGCGAGGGCCTCGGCACGCGCGGGAGATGGCACTTGAAGGCCAGAGGGACACACAGGAGCGCTTCCCGGTCAGTCGGGCAGCAGGTGGCACAGACACGCAGGGCGACGGGTTGACTGGGGGCGGGTGCCGAGGCTGAGCACAGGCCCTGCTCCACGTCGGGGACGGCTGGGCCCCGGTGAGGTGTTGCCCCTGCTGGGCCCGGGAGACCCTGTCTCCACAGGGCCTGGCTGGCGGGCTGGGATGGGAGCCAGGAGAAAAGATGGCGTCCTTGGAGACCTTCTTCTGTGACCTCAGTTTCCAAATTGGCGGGTTCTGGCCTGGCTGACAAAGTTCACTTCTTGTTGATAATGACTTTTTTCTCCCCCCCCCCCCATATTTCAGGCGACCGCACTTGGGCAGCGTCCCAGATTTCAGGTTCCCTCTGGCGGACGGCCCCACGGATGCCTACAGCAGCGCGGTGTTGCGCCCCCGGAAAGGCCGTGTGGCCGCTCTGCGAGATGAGCCTTCCAAGGCAAGGACCTCCGTCCTCCGGGGGCTCGCGCGGGACCCGCCCGCCTGCTCCAGTGTCACCTGCCTTATCCTCTGGCTGTGAGGCTCTTCTAGAACTAAACTGCTGATAGGCCGCTGTCTCTTGTCCCCTTCCCCCATTTTTCTTTTGCTGGCTCACAATTTACTTTGTAGAGCTTTTTTCCTTTCTCTTCGAAGAGTAGAAATGTGGATTAAGATGGGACCTACTGTTAAGCACAGCACAATGCTAATTAGTAGTTTTGAAACGCTAATGAAGATTCAGTGAATAGGTGTATTCATCTTTAAGCAAAAAAGAATTCACATTTGGAGTTTAAATACTTTTGTACTTTTGTCTGTTCAGCAGCGTGTATTTTTATATACTTGTGTATGTTTTCAGCACCGATAGTCATTGAACGAGCTTGGGCCAGACATCATCCCAGACCTAGGGCTGCAGCATGACCGAAAAAGCCAGATGAGGGGCACCCGGTGGCTCAGTCGGTCAAGCGTTCCACTCCTGATTTCCGCTCAGGTCACGATCTCTCGGTTTGTGAGATCGAGCCCCGCGGCCCCGCATGGGGCTCTGCGCTGCGCGCGCCTGGAGCCTGCTTGGGATTCTCTCTCTCTCTCTCTCTCTCTCTCTCTCTCTCTCCGTCTCTCTGCCCCTCCCCCACTTCAAGTAAAACAAAAGTCAGAGGAGAGGCCCGCACCCCTGTGTGTGCGCAGTGTAGTGAGGGGAGACCGGCAGCGAATGGGAAGTAAAAGGTGAGATGTGTGTTAGTCACCTGTTTCTGTCTGACAGATGGTTGACAGGTCCCCGCAAAGGGGAGCGGCTTAGGAGGACACTTCGTAGTTGCTGGTTTCTGTGAACTTAGGAGAGCCTTAGCTGCTGATTGTGGCTCAGGGGCTCGTGAGGTTGCACCACCAGGAGGCTCGGCTGGGGCTGGCGGGTGCACTGTGCGCTCCCTTGCCTGGGTGTTGGAGGCAGGCCTCAGGTCGTCACCACACGACCTGCCCACAGGCCGCTTGGCTGTCCTCCCGGCGCAGCAGCGGCTTCCCCAGAACTCACGCGGAGAGAGGGCAGGCGGAAGGTCCCGGAGCTTGTGCCGTACTAGTCTTGGGAGCTGCCCGCCTTCACTTCCACCACGTTCTGTTCGTTAGAGCTGCAGGGCCAGCCCACACTTGGGGTCCACCCCTCGACGGGGGCAGTGAAGAACTCGTAGACCTAGTTTGAAACCACCACCGTGTCAGATGGGAGTAAGCGGGGAGAGGCAACCGGGTGTCGCGAGTTGTGAGATGAGGAGGGAATAAGAATTGTAAACTCAGTCAGACAGGGAGGTATCGCCAGGAGGGTTACGTTTGAGCGCTGGCCCGAAGGAGGCAAGTGAAGGAGCCGTGTGGATGCATCACAGGTTGGTGCCAGCAAGAGGTGCTGATGGAAGGGACCTAGGGCATGAGAGCACGTGACAGGCGGGGGGAGCTCCAAGAGGTCGGACCGAGGGGACACGTCCGGTGAGCAGTTGGACACTCCAGTCTGGGCCTCAGGAGACCTTGACTGGAGAGAAGGATTAGAGCCAGAACACGCTGGTGGCGTCTAGAGGCACAGGCCACATAAAGTCCCTAGGTGGGCACCTGTGGATAGCCCCAGAGTCCAAGGGTGGCTCTCTGGGCACTGCCCAGCGCGGCAGTGGAGAGAGGGAGACAGAACTGGCAGAGACCAAGCGGTCCCGACAAGTGGTGGGAGGAGCCCAGTGGGCCAGGTGCTCAGGGAACGGGAGACCGGTGGGCCTGGTCGTGCCGGGTGGGGCCAGGCAAGGTGGAGGCCGAGGACCACGGTGGTCTGGTCCAGGAGCAGTTGTGCTAAAGCCCACTCGCCCGAGTTCCAGAGTCTGTGTAGACACAGTAGAGGCAGCTTTCTGGAGGACTTGAACTGTGGTTGGGAGCGGAGGCGCAGTGCTAGCTGGAAGGAGACACAGGGTAGAAGTTCTGTGGTTTGTGTTCTGTTATTTTGGAGGGAAAAGGGGGAAGGCATTTTTAGGCTGACGTGGATGAAGTTAGAAAGGTGATCATCCAGAGAGAGAGGGCGGAACGATGTCCCTGAGCGAGCCGAGGGCCTCGTGCCCGTGGGTGGAGCCGTCTCGGGGGGCGGGTGAGCAGGAGGGCAGGAGAGCCTCCAGGAGAGCCGCTGCTCGCACCCGCGCCCTGCCCCTCAGGCCACAGGGTTTGGGCTCGGCCGCAGAGGCGCCTCTGCCACTCGAGGGTGGCCCCGAGAGGAGCGGGTTCGCGGGCTGCTCCTGGGTCCTCCCTGCTCCTTCCATCCGGTCACACCAGCCTCAGGAAGGGAGGCGGGGGACGCTCCGGTGGCCGCACGTCCCCTGCCTGGAACAGCAGCGAGCCGGTGGGGCCGCAGAAGTGCACTCAGATTTAATGGCCTTGTAACTGCCCACGGGGGTGGCTGGCTGGCACCAGTGTGTTTTTTTATTCCCATTTTTGTTTCTGGTCTGCTCGTCCCACCCTGTGGACCACGTCACAGAAATGCCCCACGTCCACGGAGGCACGAGCGTCGCAAGGGGGTCTAAGTCATAGGCCGCCCTCCTCACCTGTGCCTTAAGTACTGCTTGCTTCGTGGGTCAGCAGCTTGTAAGCACAAGCCAGTTCCCCGCTTTCTTTGGGCCTCCAGTTGAAAACTTTCCAAGTTTCTGATAGGTTTCTTGTAGGTTTCTATAACTGCATTGTTTTTTTCCACCTTTGCCGAGATTGAGTTTTCTTACTCACAGGTACAGACTCTTAACGAACAGGATTGGGAACGTGCCCAACAAGCTAGCGTCCTAGCAAATGTGGCACAGGCGTTCGAGAGCGACGTCGACGTGTCTGATGGCGAAGACGACGGGGACACGCTCTTCAGTTCGGCCGCTCTGCTCTCGCCCAGTGGGCAGGCCGATGCCCAGACGCTGGCCATGATGCTGCAGGAACAGCTGGACGCCATCAACAAAGAGATCAGGTACACGTGATCGTGCGCGGCACCACAGAGACCACAGTGTCTCCGAGGGACTGTTACCGTGCTCAGGAAGGTCTGGAACAAACACTCTGAATGCTCTGAGTGTCCCATAACCATAAAGCTCCTTCTGGTCTATTTTAAGAATATTGTGCGATTCCCCTAGGTTATAAAATTCAGTTCACCGCGGCATCTGTCCACAGTCGTGGACAGGTTCGCGTCACCTCTGGGGAAGGGCGGAAGGTGTCCAGTCCCTTCCTGCGGGAGCCGACAGCACAGCCAGAGAGGACCGCGTGGGTGCCCAGTGTGCGCCTGCGATGCTCCTCGGCGGCGTCCGACCGAGGTTCCAGGGTCGGCCAGGACGCGGAAAGCCGAGGTGCGGAAAGCCCAGGGTGCGGGGAGGCCTCCCTGATCCACAGCGCAGAGGGAGGGTGTGTGGGGCGGGCCGCGTGCATGAACGTAACATGTCGAAGTCGGTCCATGGTAGAGCAGTGAGTGCTCAGGGGTCGTGTGTTTGAATCATTTTACGCTCGTCACTATTTCAAGGGTGTTTTCTTTAGAAATCCTCTTAGCAGTTATGGTAGCGAATTTACAAAGCTCTGGTCCCGCGGAGGCAAGAGAACCCAGAGCCTGGCCCTCGTGGAGACGGAGGCGGCAGGGTGGGCAGGATGGTGGGCCCGGGGGCCCGGGAGCTGCTCTGTTTTGCAGTCCTGAGGTCCCGGGGGGAGCGGGCACGTGCTAGTGACCCTGCTGCCGTGGATCCGGGTAGAGTCACTGTCCACGTCTCGTTCTTGGGAAGCTAGCACAGGCAGACGTGCTCCTTCCTGCCTGCAGAGAGCGGGCGGCGAGGACAGATGCCAGCGGGAGAAGCGGGGAGGAGCGGTGGGCTCTGTGGAAGCCGTCCCCCGTCAGGTCAGCGCGGGAGAGGAGAGAGGGCCCGCGCCTCGGCTTTGCTTTTGTGTGGCGTGTGGCCAGGGAGAAGCCATCTTCCTTCATGCGAGTTGACCAGATAGAAATGGTCAGTCGGTCCGGAGACTTGTCCGTCACAGAATAAGCTCTCGGGGTACGTAAACGGAGCTTTCATCGGAAAGGTCGCCGTGTGGATCTCCGGTGTCAACGTGGGCATAATTAGTGACGTAGTCAAATGCAGAAATTGCCGTTTCCTGACGCACTGCTCTCTGGCAGTGAAGAGTGTTCGCCTTGAATTCCAAATGAATGGAGTACGGAGGAGGCTGGTAGAAAATTCCATCAAATAAATTGGTTTGAATTCAGCCTTAAAAAAAAACCAAAAACTCATGTTTTCATCTAGTCTAGAGGCTTCAGTGTCGGGGAACTCCCAGCTGCTCCGTGGGTCGGTCCTTCGGTTAGGTCAGAGGTCCCGATTTCCAGTTGCAAAACGGGTACGTCGACGTGTCTGAGAATTGGGAAGGTAGCAGTTGTGAATTCACAGCTCGTCGTACGGCGAGAGCTGCCGGTGAGCCTCTGGCCGAATCTGAGCGCACAGGAGTGAAATCAAGCACGGTTGGTGGAAGGGGCTTTACGGGACGCCCTGCGGGAGTCCCCTCGTGTTGTTCTGAAACCGGGCGTATCGAAAAGACACTAAAAGGGAGACCGTTCTCACTGAGGCGGGGTCGGAGCAGCCGTCCTTGGAGCTCCCCGGCCCGCACGTTCGCAGCGCGCGAGCAAGCGCGCACTTGTCACGCAGGTGCGTTCACGGGTTCGCCAGGGCGGCGAGGGTGACCTGTCTGCTTTCGTTGCAGGCTCATTCAAGAAGAGAAGGAGAGCGCGGAACAGCGGGCGGAGGAGATTGAGAGCCGAGTGGGCAGCGGCAGCTTAGACAGCCCCGGCCGTTTTAGACCCGCGGGCTCCGGCGCCCCGCACCCCGCGTCCCCGCTCGCGGGCCCCTCCCCTCCACACAGCGGGCGCTCCACCCCACGGAGGGGCCCGCACAGCCCCGCCAGGGAGGTGGACAGACTGGGGGTCATGACTCTAGTGAGTATTTGCCTCTTCTTCCTGCGGCGCTCCCCCCACCCCAGCCCCCGACTTGGGTGCCAGAGTCTACGAACATGGTTCTGTCTCGTGTTTTACCCAGAAGGAAAGCCGGTTCATCTGTCACACTCAGAGGTGCGAGAATTTTTAAACCAGCCAGTATTTAGTCATTCAGCAGTAGCCGGTGACACACGGATTGTGCTGTGCGGGTGAGCGGGTTAACCGTCGTCGTGAGCTCATCGTCAGAGCTTTTAGGTGTGGAACTTTGGATGTGGGCCCGTGCCAGGCACCGTGGCTCCGGGGGGCGTGTTCTTGTTTTCGGGGAGTCGGCGGTTTCACCACAGTAAGCACGGACGGTAGAGAAGGCGCAGAGTGAGGCGGTGCTGTCTTTCTCCGCATTAGAGATGCCTGACTGGAGGGGACGGGGCACGCGGTCAAAAAGTACGGTAAAATGAAGCTCACGTTGGTTCTCCTGACGCTGGTGCGTGTGTGAGGCCAGCACGGCAGCGGCGTGAGCCCCACACGGGGACGGCTTCTGGGAGCGCGTCTTCGCTCCTCGGGGTCTGGAGACGCGGTGACCGTGCGGTTTCTGGGCGAAGCGCGCAGCTCTGCAGAATGTCGCGGAACTTCGCCGCGTACGTAGCTTAGGTTTGGAGAGCACGTCACCTCTTTCCGCCTACGATCAGGTTTACGACGCTGTGTTTCTGAGTGCGCTCGCGTCTGTCAGAATCTGTCCCGTTACCGTCGTTTTTCTTCCCAGCTGCGCTGTTGGCCAGCATGTGATTAGATCACTAGAGCTGTGACTCTCTTCCGTGGCCTGTGACGCGGGAACTAGTCCGTTTGTGTTGTTTTGACGTCACTCTGTGTATAATTCGCACCATTAGCTAATCAGCTCGTACCTTAAACTCTTGGACGGTCTCATCTGTGGTTTCACGCTTTCTTCCTCTCGGAGAATTTGTGAAAGTCGCTATAAAAATAATCGGCTCTTTTCCCTGCTGTGGCATGTGTGTGCCGGCCGAGAGCGTATCTGCTTCCGTGCTGGGTTTTGATTTGCCGTCTCGTCCTTTCGCTTGCTTACCGCTGTTCACGCAGACCTCAGCCTCCCGCCCCCCAGCCGGTATCTTGTTCGCCCACCCCCCCGCCCCTCTCTGCCCCACGCCGTGAGCCCCTCCGCAGCGTGCTCCCGCGGCCGTGATCCTGTGTGTGCAGCGTCTGTGGTCAGTCGTGGCTCTCTCGTGTCGTTCCTGCTTTGTCTTCATTTCTCGTGAGGTAGTGGGGTTTCGCCCCCATGGTGACCAATGGCACTTAGCGTGTCACCGTGTAGTACGCGTGGATGCGGGTGTGACACAGATAACTCGTCCGCGAAGGGTTTCTTCTAAAGAGATCAGACACAGCACGCTCTGTGGTGCCGACGCTCGTGGTCAGGACTCCAGACCTCATGGGCTTACCGGGCACAAGTACCGCCTTCCACACGGAAACACGGGGCTCCTACAACGTGAAGCTGTCACCTCTCTCACGCCCGTTTTTGTCACGTACCTGCACAGCATGTTGATTCTTGGGAAGTCTTCACTCAGATTCTAGGTCAGGACTTGACACTAACATCCAGCAGGTCCTTAACCAGAGTAGGTCGGTTCGGTGTTCTACCGGGTGTCGCGGTCACTTCTTGGGCATCCACGAGGTTGATAGTGTAAAAGCGGGACGTGGCTTTCAACAAGGAGAACAGTTACAGAAAGCTTTAGCACAGACAACTGTTAGATCTCTCTGTTACACAGGATGCCGTATTTTAATAAATTATGTACGTCGTAATGGAATCTTATCTCCCTGAGTAATAATTTATAGTTTCTCTAGTAAATGTTGAATAACCTATTACGTTTAAATGTGTGGTGGAAAGTTCTGTTTCCAGTTATGGTTGTTTCTAAACCTTATCTCAATTATGTCCATGCTGTTGTTGTTTTTAAAACATGTTTGCCTCTTCTGGTCCTTGAACTTGTGACTTCCGAGCGTGCAGTAAATCTGATTTCTCTTCATTTCTTTGCATGCCTCTGTCAGCCTAGCGATTTAAGGAAGCGTCGTAGAAAGGTAAAGTGCTTGGTAGTGTAACCTACCTGTGTTTGTCTGTGGCGGGTGGGAGAGTGCCCGTCGCTTCACAGAGCGGGCACCACAACCGGGTCACGACAAGCGGCCGGTGTGTCCCGGGAAGCGCTGGGCGCTCGAGCTCGGCGGCCGGTTTCCATGGCGCCTGCGAGGGACGTGAGAGCTTGCCTTTCTCTCTCGTTTGTCTCCTGCTCGCTGCGTACTCAGTTATGCGAGACATAGAAGTTTCTAGGAAGAGAAATGACTGAAGCCGAGCCCTAGATGTTCGATTTGGGGATAACCACCTTGGACAGTCGTGGCCAGCAGCGTTCGGCGAACTCTTGGGGTCCACCAGCTGCTGTGTGCAGTGGTTTAGGAGCCTGTTAGCCGGCCCCCACCCACACCCCTGCGAGCCGCAGCGTGTGTGGTCACCCCCGTTTCCAGATGTGGAAACAGGCCGAGAGCCCGGGTCCTGTGCCCGAGGCCGCATTGCAGTGCAAACGCTGGCCACGACACCACTCTGCCACGTACCCCACCTTTGCTCGGGCGCCCTTCTCTCCTTTATGGCGCCCCGGGCCGGGGCAGGGCACCTCCTGTGTCCAGAGGACCATGACTTGGGTGTGCCCCTTCTCACGGGAAGTGCCGTGCCTCGGGACCGGACCCTTGACCAGAGCGCCCCCCTCATAACTGGGATGCTTTGCTCCCTGGACCGTACCCCCATCCCAGACCCCCCCGGCCACGCGCTGACAGGGCCGTGCCTCTGATACGGAGCCGGGCGGCAGCCGGGGGAGCCCCTCCCCTGCAGGGACGGTGTGGCCGTTCAGTTAAACTCCGGGTTCGAGTGCCAGCTCCGTCAAAGGTGACCCGGGCGTGTTAATCGCCCCCTTTTTGCCCTGGTTTGCTCCCCTGGTAAGTGAGGACAGCGATAGAATCGTGGCCCTCGGGGTGTCCACAAACTGCCCATCGGTGCACGGTCCACAGAGGTCGGGAGCTCTCACCGGCGACAGGGCGCAGAGCACGCCCTGCAGTCCGCTGGCTCGTGCCGCCCTTTCCTCGGTAGCAAGACCTTCTCGAGGAAGGGAGGAAGGGAGGAAGGAAGGAAGGGAGGAAGGGGCGGGCGTGTGGTGAACACCCAGGCAGGACGGCCTGCTCCCGCAGCTCACTGACGGCTCCTTGGAGGGCTCCTTGGAGGCTTTGGGGGTTGAAGACTAGGTGCACGAGAAGTGGGTGTCAGGTCCGCGCGCACGGGGCCAGCACGGGCGTTGCGCTTCCCAGCCCTGCGGGAGCCTCCCTTTTGGTTGAGACCGAAATGGCCCAAAGGCCCAAGTCTGGCGGGACCCAGCGCCGGGCGGGGGCTTGCGCTGTGACACAGGGGAGGGCCTGCGCCCGGAACCCTCCGTCTCTGCTCACCTCGTAGCCGGGTCCCTAGTGTGGCTCCCTGTCCTGTTCCCTTTTGGTGTTTGTTTTCTCCATATCCTTGCCTCCACCTGGATTTGAAATCTATTTCTGTTACTTAAGTCTGACCCTGTTTAGTTTTATGTTGATAATTTGTAGCCGGTTAAGGTAGCCTTTTGTTGTCTGATGATGGTCACGGAAAGCAGGAGAGGAAGCAGGTGTTCTGTAGCTGTTGGTTAAGCTGGTGTCTTCTCTGAGCTCAGCTCCGCTTGGTGCTGACCCCCGGCCCCCGTGGGTGTCCCGAGCCCCATGCAGCTTCGGAGGTCCTGGTACAAACCCAGTTGGCGGTGCCTGTCTCGCCAGTCCTACACGGGTGTCTCGTGTGATCTGGCCCTGCCTCACCACCAGGACCTGTCAAGGGTAATAACGCTGGCTGGTCCGTGGCCCCGCCGTCCATTCCAGGGCCCACAGCCACATAGCCGCAGACCCACAGCCTGTTACAGGAGGAAAAATGGAGTCTGAAGGGGGTCATCTTGTCGTGACGGCAGCCCAGGGTCACTTTGTCTCCACCGTGTTGAGCAGGCCTCCTCTAAGCCGCAGAGAGGTCCTTCAGTTTGTAACGTCAACCTAAATGTCACTGAGAAGCAGAAGTCAGACCCGAGTGGGGGTGGGGGGGGCGGGGGTTTGGGTGCCTTCTCACTTTCCGCCCGTGCTCGTAGGTCCAGGCTTTGCATCATTACTGGAAGTGACACTGGGTTAGGGCCCAAGCTGGTTCCTTTTCCCCCAGACAACGAGCGATGCACAGTCGTGCACGGGAAGCCTCTGTGCTCACCAGGGTTTGCTCTGAATGGCGTCAGGAGACCAGCACCTTGCTCCTCGGCTGGCGGTGGTCGATGGGAACATGGTTCAGGGCGTGGTTCGCGAAGGTCTCCGCCGCTGCCTTCCGGGGCTGGGCTCGCGGTGGCATGGGGTTCTGGGGGAGGGCGCACCCGCTGGGTGCAGATGGCCCGGGGTCTCGGCGGGCCCGCTGCCCAACGCGTGGCCCGGAGTTAGGCCGACACGAAGAGGGCGTTTTGGACGCCGCAGAAAGCGCAGCTCGTAGCTACTCAGATGAGTTCCTGGCTGTGATTTCAGGGCTGTGTGCTCGTCTGTCGGGCCCGCGGTGAACTCCTGTCACCCTCTTCTCGACCCCGCAGTTGCCGGCTTCGCGCGAAGAGGTACGAGACGACAAGGCAACGATAAAATGTGAAACGTCCCCTCCTTCCTCCCCGAGGTCCCTGCGCTTGGACAGACTGCACCAGGGGGTGCTCCACGCGGCCAGCCACGAGGACATCAGGGACGCCAGAAAGTAAGGGGTGCAGGCGCCACAGGGGACACGCCAGCGCGTTGGTTTTCAGCTCCGAGAAACCCTTGATCTTCTTGGGGGAGAAAGGGTCGGGACGGCGATTCTAAAGAAACGCCAGCGAACTGAGTTTATGTGCACGATGTTCTTGGGGCACCTGCCGGGGCTCTGGGGGTGCGGCCGCCGGGGCGCAAGTCCGCTGGGACAGACTGGAGTCCGGCGGTGCAGGCGGCTGTAGGGCAGCCTCGTTTGCCCAGATCCTAACCACTGGCCGTCCTGAGGCTTCCCCTCTGCCCTCCCCTGGGCCGAGCTCTGTGCCCCGAGGGGCTCTGGGGAGCCATCTTCCCCCCCACCGGGCAGCTCCAGCAGCCGCTGTTTCTCGCACCGTGTCCCTGGCTGGCTCTGGTTGTGCATGTGCTCCGTGCTCCTGGGTCACGGCCTGGAAGGGCTGCCGCGTGTTCTTGGCCCAGGGCGCTTGGAGTCCAGATCTTCTTGGGAGGGAGAGAGCGTCAGCTCCCCGGGGGCAGCCCTCCCCGGGAGCTGGGGGCCTCTGCTTCTCACTTGCGTGGGGCGGTGTGTCATGTGCCAAGCCCGCGTTGAAGATCCTCTCCCGTCCCCCAGCTCGACAGGCTCGCAGGACGGCCCCGTGAGCAACCCCAGCAGCAGCAACAGTAGCCAGGACTCGCTGCACAAAGCGCCCAAGAAGAAGGGCATCAAGTCTTCCATCGGCCGCCTGTTTGGCAAGAAAGAAAAGGGCCGTCCGGGCCACGCTGGCAAGGATCCCGCGGGACCAGGTTGGTGTCCCGTGTGTGGCTCCCACGTGCAGGTGGTCCTGCTGGTGTCATTCGTCTAGAACCGTGATCACTCTGCCTGCAGGTTCCTCCCCCTGTCGGGAGACCTTCACGTGGCCTGTTGAGCACCCCCCCCCCACGCCCCCCATTTCATCACTCTGCTTCCCCACAGCTGCTGTTTTGGAGGTGGAAAACTCCTCTCAGGACGCCCTGGGACTCAGCAAATTGGGCGGACAGGCTGAGAAAAACCGTAAACTTCAAAAAAAGTAAGCGTTCTGTTCTCTGTCTTCTCTGCGTACTGTCAGCCATACGTGGTTTCGAAGCAGTGGCTGTTTGTTCATTGAGCTCTGTAGCTGCAAAGAGGGACTCTCTCCCTCCAGGCTGAACCTGAGGTCCCTGTTAAACTGGGCCTCCTGGAGGCGTAGAGCACGTGTGAAATCGTGAAGGGGCTCCCGTGGATTCCCACTCCACCTTGAGAAGTTGTGCAGCGAGGCTGTGTTGTGGCTCACGTGAGGGTGAGACCTCGGAGCACTTGGCCCTGAGCCCCGGCTCCTGTACGGATCAGTTTGGGGCTCTGGGCCTTGAGCCGGGGCAGAACTCAGTGGGCTCTGCGATAGGCCTGACAGTGGGCGAGGCGTCCGGTGGCTCTCGAGCGCTCTGAGGGCCTGCACGGCCTGGAGCCGGGGCCTCACGGCCACACTGGGCCCACAGGGCCCCGTCCCTATAGAGGCTGGTTCCCTTTCAGCCCCTGGAGTTGTCTGTCGGTTTTCCTTTAAACCTGCCTCAGTTTAGTCTTCTTCTCAGAAGTCATAATAACGATCGTGACTGGCACATCGTGGGCTGTGTTTCAGGTGAAACGCTGTGGTTTCTGTTACTGCTCACAATTCCGTAGGAACAGTCAGGCTTTTGGTTCCCTGGGAATGGAAATTTGTAGAAACCACTTAACAGCGGTCTGATTTGAATGTTGCTATGTTTGAAGTGTATAAAAGTGTTTTGAGATAACTTGGATAGTTGCCATCTGGCCGTGTGCAGTTTGATGCTGAAAGTAGGCCTTTTGCTTCTGGAACCGTGCTGGGAAGATTCTGTCCCTTCGATGTTGCCGATGTGTTTCATTTCACATCCTTACACTTTTTGTAACGGAAACAGTGAGACTCGTGGCCCTCTGGGTCTCCCACCCCACTGCTCCCAGAAATGTGTATTTCACGTAGGATCGGAAGTAACATAAATTGGCCAAAACGTTTCACTCTGTCTCCTATGTTTATTTTGTCATCCTCAGGAGGTATGTTTAAGTACTTGGTCATAGGAGGACGGCCTTTATTGAGTTATTTGCCCCAGCATGTGATTAAACTTCACAGAGTGTGTGTAGGTAGCTTTCCCTGGGGCTGAGATGTTCAAATTGCCGGCTTTGGTTCTGTGTTACCATAGCTGCAGCCGAGTGAGAGCGGGTCGTTCTCTGGACTCCGTGATCATCATGGCAAATTCCAGACCATACAGTTGGCACTTGAACAGCAAGGGTTTGAATAGAAGGTCCACTTATATGCAACATTTTTTTTTTTTTTTAATGAATGCAGTATAGTATTGTAAACATATTTTCTCTTCTTTGTGATTTTCTTAATAACCTTTGCCTTGTTTTATGAAAGAATATGGCATACATACATAACTTACAAAATATGTGTTAACCGACTGTTTATCGGTAAGCCCTCTGGGTACAGTGGGCTATGAGGAGTTAAGTTTTCAGGGAGTCAGAAGTTATGCTCGGATTTTCGAGAGTGGTGCTTTGCCCGGATGGCAGAGCCGTGGTGGTGAGGTAGGGCCCCGTAAGTCCCCACGCGAGGTGCCCTAGTGTGGACAGTGTCCGCCTCAGGAGAATGAGTCGCGGTGGTGTCGGTGGTCATGTCGTATTTGATGAGACGCTTCTTGTTACGAAAGACCACTTCGCCGCTGCATTTATGTCCTAACTGTGAGATGCGTGTTGTCAGTCACGGGTTACGTGGCCTCATGCGTGTGCCTGCTCCCCGTAGAATTCAGCAGATTTCTAAGTGTCTTTCTCCTGCGGCTCTAACCGTAAGGCTGGGAAGCACTCCACATGAGTTTACTGTTAGGGCGAGTGTTCGGAAAATCACGTGTGGTGTCGAGAATTGGGTCCTTGAGGGAGATCGGGTCCCCGCTCAGTAGGCCTGGCCCAAGGCGGTCAGAGCGCTCATGCATTTTACCCTGTGGGGGAGGCAGAGCTCTGTAAACCAAGGGGGGCGTGGCCACAGCGGGGGATGCGGCGTCTGAGAGCGGAGGGAGGGAGGCAATAACCGCGAAAGTCAGACAAGTCTCCCATGCCTCCAGGATGTTGGCTTGTAACTCCCGTTCCTCCGTGCAGAGTTAGGTGCTGGGGGCCGACTGAGAATTCAGAGAAGCGAGGGGCGCCTGGAGGGCTCCGTCGGTTAACTGTCGGACTTCAGCTCAGGTCACGATCTCACGGTTTGTGACATCGAGGCCCGCGTCGGGCTCCGTGCTGACAGCTCAGAGCCTGGAGCCTGCTTCGGATTCTGTGTCTCCTCTCTCTCTGCCCTTTCTCAAAAATAAACACGAAAAAAAAAAATTGCAGAGAAGCGCTAGACAGATCAGAGTCCCTGCCTCTTTAGTCCTCGTGTTTCAGGCTTCGGAACTGGTGGCGGAGAGCGTTGCTTTCTGGAGTATTGACCTGTGCAAGCAAACCTCGTGTCCTTACGGTAAAGTGTGAGCCGCCCCGCTTAATTTCGTAGCTTGTGGTCCACAAGGAGAGAAACGGATCATTCCGTCGATCGTCGGAGTGACCGTGCGGGTACACGGGCAGGTTCTTCCGGGGTACGTGGCCCTTGGTTTACGCGAGTCCCAGGTGACGGGAGCTGGCCGTCCGCAGTGGCAGGCGGCAGAAGTGCAGTTCGTCCGTCAGGCGAAGGAGGGGTTGGGTGCACACAGGTGCTCTGGCTCTGGCTCCTCCGCTTACGGGGGCGGCACTGACCCCCCAGGAGAAGGAAGGGGTGCAGGCGTCCCCCCCCCCCCCCCCCCCCCCCCCCCCGGGTCCATCCGGTGGTTAGTCTCCTGGGCGGCGTTCTGGCCTGGTAGGGGACGGGGCCCAGTGCAGACGGAGACCTGGGCCGGCTGCCCGGCTGGGGGCCCCACGTCGCCGCCGCCTCCTGGGTCTCGCGGCCGCGTGGCCCTGGCTCCGCTGCCTCTGCGTGGTCTCGGCGGGACCTCGGGCCTGAGCTCCAACCCACGAGCGCATCTGAACCAGAAAAGGCTTTTCGTAAACGAGTGGCCACCGCCAGGAGGAAGGTGAGGGTGAAGTCAGAGTCGTGGACACCAACCTCCAGGTAGCGGGGCTCATGGGCCGTCTGCAACCCTGTAGGGGTGGACGGCGAGCGTCTACGTGAGATGTTTTTTTGAGGTAGGCTCCACGGCCAGTGTGGGGCTCAAACTCCCGACCCTGAGCTCAAGAGTCCTGTGGTCTACCAACCGAGGCAGTCAGGTGCCCCTAAATACCTGTTGCGTGTGGAAAGACAAAGCGTGGCGGACAGAGTGCCACGAATCCGGTCGCCGTTCAGTTTGCTTTCGGAGTGCGGGGCGTCTGCGAGCCCCCCGGGCCCTGCAGCAGAGCCGCGCGCACCCCTCCCGTGCCGGGCTGGGCTGCTTGGGACCGAGCCCCTGACCGTGCTTTCGGAGCTCAGGTCTCTCCCCGGCCCGTCTGCCAAGGAACGATTAGTATCGTGTGTAGGAGTCACGTGGCACGGCTTACGTTATGTGTTCGCATAAGATGTTGGTGCTGTCGTTGAGAATTTGTCCGTAGGACACGGAAAGCGGCGTTAAATTGGGCACACGGATGGCTTACTCCGCCCGGCGAGGGAGGCGCTTCTCCCCCGTGCTCATTCCATCCGGTGTGCGTGCCCCGTGTCGGGGTGACCAGCGCCCCAGTGGACTCCCGTTTCTTTTTCATATGTGAGTAAATAGTTTTGCTGCTCATTTTAAAGAGGGAAGTTTTGCCTTTCTTCCTTCCTCCCTCCCTCCCTCCCTTCCTCTGGCTATTAAGATTTGTTGCATTCTACGGCACCTGGCTGGCTCAGTCAGTGCAGCATGTGACTCAGTCTCAGGGTCTTGAGTTGAAGCCCCACCTTGGGCATAGAGCTTACTTAAAAAAAAAAAAAATGTGTTGCCCTCCCTGGTGTAATCCTTCCTACACAATTAGAACATTTATTACCCCCAGGAAACCTCAAGGTTGACTTCAGGAACACTTACTTGAAACTTGATGTGAAACATTTTGAGCTCGAATTGTACGTAGACTTTACAGTCTTAAGAAAGGTCTGATACTGTTTAAATATGTTGAAGAGCCAATGTGTTCGTTCAGAAACATGAGATTCAGTGATGTGTTCTGCAGAATTTATCAAAGAAAAATAACACTACAAGTGACCGAGGGATTTAAAAATGCCTCAGGATGCCCGGGCACGTAGGGTAAACCATCTTCTGTCCTACCCCACCTTCTCTGCGAGGACTTTCCCGTTCAGAAAGAATTCGTGTGTCTCAGAAAGCCTCGTACGTACACAACATGAAAGAGCGAGGTGAAGTTCTCAAAGCTTATAGCGTTGTCTCTTACGTAACTATGTTATTAGTAGACGATCATTTTTAAAGATGTTACGATGGTGAAGTAATGGTTTGGGTATTTTAGAGCCAGGCGGACAGAATATTTCAGATGCGGTGAGGATCCCAGGACGGCTTCCTGGTGTCGGCTTGTGACAGGATCACAGTCTCACAGGCTGCCCTGTGTGCACTGGCCCCAGTGGTTGGGACTCAGAGTTTCTGGGTCTGAAGCCTGTGGGTTAAACCATGGGATGACCCAGTCTCTTAACTTAGCAGATACCTGTATTAGCCTGAATCGCCGTGTAGAATAGAAACTGCCAAAATCCCGCCCGTTCCTTAGTTGCCGAATCAGACCATTACCGGTATTAAAGTCTGTGCCGTTCTGTGTTGTTGTCTTTGCCGGACGTGTTTGAGACCCTCACAGCAGCTCCTCACTCAGATGCAGGTGCGGCCCCCTCCTGCGGTTTTCCTTGTTGCCCAGGTACTCCCTCCGCTGTCCTACCTCGGACGTGAAGGTTGCCGGGGTTGGTTGATGTTGACACTGATTCTTTAATTCTGCCAGGAGACGCCCCTGTTATGCTTTTTTTGTTTTTTAATTTTTTTTTTTTTAATGTTTATTCATTATTGAGAGACAGACACAGAGCGTGAGCAGGGGAGGGGCAGAGAGAGAGAGGGAGGCGCAGAATCAGAAGCGGGCTCCAGGCTCCGAGCCGTCAGCTCAGACCCCGACGTGGGGCTCGAACTCACGAACTGTGAGATCATGACCTGAGCCGAAGTTGGTCGCCCGACTGACAGAGCCACCCAGGCGCCCCATATACTTTTGAAAACGTGCACAGGGAATTACCTCTGTTCACTTGCTATATACCCACAGGCACTCGTGACTCTTCAGCGTTGAATTCTCTCGTTATTTGCAGGCACGAATTGCTCGAGGAAGCCCGGAGACAAGGTTTACCTTTCGCACAGTGGGACGGGCCCACCGTTGTCGTTTGGCTGGAGGTATGTTTCTTTTGAATCCTGGGCGGAGCACGTCACGTCTGTGAGCAGGACGAATGCATTCGTACACCGTGCAGAACCTTCTGGCCTTTACACTTCCTGTCTCTAGCTCTGGGTCGGGATGCCTGCCTGGTACGTAGCCGCTTGCCGAGCCAACGTGAAAAGCGGGGCCATCATGTCTGCGCTGTCCGACACGGAGATCCAGCGTGAGATCGGCATCAGCAACCCTCTGCACCGGCTGAAGCTGCGGCTGGCCATTCAGGAGATCATGTCCCTGACTAGTCCGTCAGCCCCTCCTACTTCGAGAACGGTACGCACCTGTGGAAGGAGCCCATCTGCTGCTCACGTTGCCTCCCACGACTAGTGTTCCAGTTTAACATTTTAGCATTCAAATACGTGATCGGGTGGTTAAAAGATACTTTATTGAATGCTCTCAGAACAGCTTGACTTTGCAGTATAGACATAGGAGTTTTTTAAAGTGTAGACAAGGAATTATTCCTCATTTAAGTACAAACTTACCAAAAGCCAAGGGGAAAGAGCTCAGATCCCTATTTGCATTATTATCAGTGTTTTACTGTCTGACTTATTCAGCCCGTTGTTGCTTTCCGTTCAGGGAGCCGCGGGTCCCGGGGGCTCAGGGCTTTAAGCAGCCTGTGCATCTGCCCCTGCACACTGAGCGCGGCCGTGCTCCACGCGGGCAGACCCTGGCCGTCCTTACCGATGCCCCTCCTGGTTGAACGTTAAAAAACGAATCTGAGGACAACGTTAATGGTTCTTGGGGGACAAAGTGGGCCGGCTCCTTTCCGTGGGCTCTGTACGTTGGCTCAGCTCCCACTCTGCTGTTCTCTGCTCCGAAGAGAAAACCTGGCGAGGACGCGTCTTCCCACGTTCTTCTCCGAGTAGCAAGCAGGTCAGCGCCTGATTCGGGACTTGCAGGGACTTTGCACAGAAAGGATTGCCAGCGTCTTTGTTTCGATTCTTAGGGACAGAATTGTAATGCGCAGTCAGTCTGTGCACTGACCTGTGGCCCGGGAACGTTCTGTCACGGCATCTGACCAGGTCCCGTTGCCTGGTTGTTTCCAGTTAGAGAGACCTTTGTAGAAACAAAGGTGTTAGGGTGGCTTTCGCAAAGTCTTAGAAACCGTCTCGGCGAAGGCCCCCGCTCACGAGCTGAGTCAGCGGACAGTGATGACAAGCACACCTGGAACAGGGAACCTCGCTGTGAGACGGGCCAGCTCTCTCCCTGAGGGGCCCAGCGGCCGGCAGGGCGCTAACGGGCCTCGGGTCTGCCGCGCCACATCAGCGGTGCCGGTGTTTTGGCTCCTTGAAGTCAGTGGCCGTTCTGTGTGCCACGCTGAGCCCTGTGCTGGGCCTCTTAGGGTCCCCAGGTGAGGTTGTCCCGTCCACATGGCCCCATCACTGTGGAGTGCCTGTGGGGAGCCGTCCACAGGCCAGACGTGGGGACGGTGCTCCTTTTCGTGCTTTGGGGGAGAATGTTTTAAACATACCGAAGTGACAGTTACTTGAGAATTAGGAATAGTTTTCAGAAGTCCCAAATAGGTCGCTTTTATTATTTCCCGTGTGTCAGGTGGTAGGCGTGGCAGATGAAGCTCCAGAAACGGTGGGCTGTCCTGGGGTCCCTGCCAGCACAGTGGTGGTGCGCGTGGTGGTTCTCCGTCAAGGGGCGGGGCTTGTTTTAACCTTCTGTCGTTCTCTGTGTGGGCATCTGAAACGAGAAGGCGGGAAGAATGGCCTTTGCGTCCGCCTGCTCCTTTTGCGTGCCCGAGGCTCACGTGTCTGCTGCCTTTCCTCTTTGTCACTGCTTCCCTTGCCCTGGATGTGGTTGTCACTGGGGCCGCCCTAGACCACAGGAAATATCTGGTTAACGCATGAAGAGATGGAAACGCTCACGGCCACGCCACAAACGGTCAGTCGCAGCCCCGAGCCTGTCCTCCCTCCGTGCTCCCTCCTCCCGCCCCCGAGAACGGCGCGATTCTGGGCTTTTCTGTGGGAAACAAAAAAGTCCTTTCACGTTAAATTGTTCGGATCAGTACTTCCTTTAGGTATTAGTGAAATGCGTGAAGTAGAATTCTATTTTAGATTTTTCCCAGGAACTTAAAATGGACAGACTAGCTCTGTTTAGAATAGATTGAACTCCTATCTCCTTCCGGAGAGACCTCGGTTTGGTGCTCGGCCTCCACATTCTGGCCCTAGTTGTCTCCTTTAATGGACGTGCCTGCCACGGGGAGTCGGCTCCTTGCATGAGAATCGGAATTGGTGGTTTTGCATGAGTTTTGCATGACGCTTTGACTTTCTCACTCTGTCACCCAGTCGCTCCACGCCTTCCCGACAGAGCTGATCTGCTCGCATGCCCAGGCCCAGCAGTACTAACAGTTGTGTTCTTTTGCATTCCTAACCTCGTGACCCCAGGAGGCTGAGGAGGGAAGCTGGGCTCAGGTTGGAGACTCTCTATAATATACTCTTCACTATGTGTACAGCAGCAAAAGAGCTGGAGTATGAAAGCTTGTAATTGACTTTTCTTGACGTTTTTAACATCTTACTTTATGCCGAATATCGTTGGTGATTTAAAGTCTTAGAGCAAAGCGTAGGATTAAAAGAGCACGTCTCATGGACAATTTTGAACCTTTCTCATGGGGCACCACGGTTAATTCTGCTTAAAACACACGTCACTTTGTTTGGCCAGTGGCTGTCACACACCGTGCCTGGGCCCTGGCAGCTCCTGGGATCATAGAAGGCTGTCCCCGGTGGGCTGACACTCCTCCCAAGGCGTGCTGACGGGAGATGTTCTGATAAACACCTGGCACGGGAGGTGGCACAGGGGCCCTCCCTCCCCGTCTGGGCATCAGCGTGTCGCTCCACGCCGTCCTGCTGCTGTGTCCGTTGAGAGGCTTTCTTACTCCCGGGGTTCTCAGAAATGAAGCCTCTGCTTGCAGACCGTACATTTGAATTTTCAGCTTCCTCGTTCTCCAGGCTCACAGAAAGCTCCGGCACGACTCTCTTGCAGCCGTGTCTGGGCAGCTTGATTAGAAAGCAGTTCTAGTTAGTTCCAGTAGCGTTGCCGCCTGACGCACTGTTAGGTCTTAGCACTAGAAAAGGTTTTAGGTTTCGAGGGCTGCAGGCTGCAGCCAGCCAGTTCTTACTGATGGTGTCGTGTTCAGGGATCCGCAGGGGATAATTGTATGTCAGCAAAAACAAACTCCTCTTACATCTGAATTTTTCTCATTTCCAGTTGATGGTTGAAACACCTTTTTTTCTCTATTTGTACTCCTAAAATGAAGCACGTATTATCACTTAAAAAAAAATTTTTTTTTTATTTTTAAACTTTTTTTAACGTTTATTTTTGAGGCAGAGAGAACGCAAGGTGGGACAGAGAGCCAGAGGGAGACAGAGAATCTGACGCGGGCTCTGCACTGCCAGCAGAGAGCCTGATGTGGGGCTTGATCTCACGAACCGTGAGATCATGTCCTGAGCCGAAGTCAGTCACTTAACCAGCTGAGCCACCCAGGTGCTCCGTATCCCTTTTTAAAAAGCAAAAGAGAAGAGTGACTCTAATGTTCCATGTGTTCCCTCTTCAACCGTTTGATCTAAGCCCTCTGTGCCAATACTCTAGATAAATATCATTAATCACTCAGCCTGCTCAGATGTTTCTTTATGGGCCCAATAATGGCCATCAGTGAATTGAAAAGGGTGCATTTCGTAATTGCTTCAATGTCAGCGTCTTCCACACTAAGAAGAAGAGCTCTGGCAGCAACGAAGTATGAAATTCCCTGTCTTGGGGTGGGATGTGTAAATGAAATAAGCCGAATGTTTGCTCTTGGCAGTGGAAACGTAAACAAGGATGAGCCGTGCCAGTGACGCCAGAATTAGTCCCCACTCAGTCTTCAGCATAAGCAAGGATGGTTTTCACTCCATCCGTCTTCTAGATGAGAGGAGAACGAAGAGGCATCCTGGTCTCTGTGCGCCTGCCCCCTGCCGCCAAGGGCAGCGGTCATAGAGTGTGCCTTCCCCGGGCTCTGACATAGCGACCAGCTCTTAAGCCAAGGGGGAGCTGGAGATGCGCTTGGGCACTCAGGGGAAGCAGACTTCCAGGTGTGGTCAAGTCCCCGATGCCTTCATTTAGCGAGTACCGTCCGTGTACTGCCCGTGCAAAACTGAGCTGCTTGCTGGTAACACCTGCCCGCACCTGTCATGTTTTACGGAGGTCGCAAAGCGGAATTGGCTTTGTGACCATTCCAGTGCTGGAGAAAATAGAGCCTGTGCAGCGGCAGTCTCTTGCGGCCTGAGTGTTCTCTGACCATGAGAGATCCCTGTCGTATGCTTTCTTCAGAAGGCTGTGACAGCAGCCCAGGAGGCGTGGGTCTCCCCGGTTTTGAGCCTGGATCCTCCGGGGGCATGTGTTATGGGCCACTTAACAAGTGGGACCAGAGTATGTGAACAACGTGAAGGAGGACTCTGCTCCCATGAGACTATTTAGAAATTTCTTTGCATTTTGTGTCCATTTAAGAATACATGAACAGAAGCAAGAGAGCAGTGATGGCTGTTCACGCCCTAAGGGTCAGGTCTGTGATATTGAGAGTGAGGTTGGAAAGAGTGAAAAAACATGACATTGTGACAATTTGCCAAAGCATTCGATGCTTTTCTCACTCATGGTCATTTACCGAAAGTAGTGACACAGTTTTCTTCTATTGAATTTGAGCATTCTTACTGAAATCTGACTCATTCCTTCTATAGTTTGTTTGGTGTGAATACTAGATAAGAGGCTGTATTTTCAAGACACAACATGGTGGTAGTTGAGAGTTAATATTTCCAAGGATTCCATAAGGTAACTACAGAATTCCTGTGACTGTAGCTTTGCCTTCTTGCACTGAAGAAATCCAGTGCCTTTGTTTGATATGTGTGCATATACTTATAATGTGTTTACTTCTGTTTCATGGCACAAATGTTGCACATTTTCTGTTAAATGTATCCCAAGGGATTTCATAGTTTTTCACGATATTATAAATGGTATTTTTAAAAATCTCCATCTCCAGCTCATTTTTTTAGTATTTAATAATACAGGTCCTGTTAGTTCTGATAGCTGTCCTGTATTCATCTTCTGTGTTGATAATCAAGTCATATGCAAATCAGGACAGTGTTATGTCTTTTCCAACCCATGTGCTTTTGATTTCTTTTTCTTGCCTTACCACAGTGGCTGGGAGTTCTGGTGCAGTATTGAGTGGAAGTGGTGGGAGCAGACATCCTTAACTTGGTTTCTGATTTTAGGGAAAATGCATTCAGTCTTACACCACTAGTGTGCATTCAGCTCTACATTTTTTTGTAGAAGCCCTTTATCAGGTCAAGGCAGCCATCTTTTCAGTTTCTAGATTGCTGAGATTTCTATAGATGAGTGATTTGGTCACACACGTTTCCCACATCTCTGTGGTTTTTTCTTTTCAGTACATTGGTACGGTGAACTTCTTTGATTTTTAAATATTGACCTAAGCTATGTTACTGGGATAAACTCCACTTGTCATGATATCATAATTCTTTTCACTTATTACTGATTTGATTTGCTAATGTTTTGTTAAGGAAGTTTGCATCTCTGTCTATGAATGCTATTGATCTGTTTTTTGTTTTTTGGTTTTTTTTTTATAATCTGTCTGGTTTTGGTGTCAAAATAATGCTGCTCGTATAGAATGAGCTAGGTATTTCTTCTTCACTTTTTTGTAATAGTTTATGTAGAATTGGTACTGTTTTCATAAATGATTGGTAGAGATCAATGGCAAAAGCAATTGAGGTAGAGATGTGCATGTGTGTGTGTCTGTGGGTTATAGCTACAGATTCAAAGTCAGGTACAGGTTACCAGTTTCTTTCCGAGTGGCTTTCGTAGATTATGTCTTTCAAGAAACTTGTCTGTCTTATCCAGGTTGCTTACGGCTGTCTACAATTTTCCCTTATTACCCTTTCAGTGTCTGTAGGGTCTGTACTGATGTACACTGATTTCAGTGTCTGTAGGGTCTGTACTGATGTACGGTGATTTCAGTGTCTGTAGGGTCTTTCATTCTTGATGTAGATAACTTATATCTTTCTTCTTAATCACTCTGGGTAGGGTCATTCCATTCTATTGATGTTTACGAAGACCCAGGTTTTACTTTCATTGTTTTATTTTCTATTATTTTTCTGGTTTCTGTTTCATTGATTTCTGCTCTTTTATTTTCTTCCTTCTGTTTGCTGTGAATTTCATTTGTTCTTCTTTTTCAAATTTTTTAAGGTAACATCTTACATTATTGATTTGCAACCTTCATTTATAACGTAAGTACTTAATACTATAAATTTCCCGCAGCTAGTGCAGCGTCCCACAGTTTATGAATATATTGTGTGTGTGCTTTCTTTATGGTTTTTTTTTTTTTAAGATTTTATTTTAAGTAACATCTACACCCAACATGGGTCTTGAACCCATGACCCTGAGATTGAGAGCCGCACACTCCACTGACCAAGCCAGCCAGATGCCCCTTGTGTGTTCACTTTCATTCAATTCAAAAGATTTTCCCATTTCCCTTGTGATTTCTTCTTTGGCACGTGGGTCAGTTAGAAGTGTGCTAATTCCAAATATTTGGGAGTTTTCTAGATCTCTTTTCATTATTGCTTTCTAATTTAATTCTGTGGAGGTCAGGGGACATATATTTGGTATGATTTCAGTCTCTTTAAATACGTGGAGCTTTGTCTGTGTTGGGGAACATTCTGTGTGCACTGTTGCTGTTGGCTAGAGTGCTCTCACGGCAGTTGGGTTGGGCTAGTTGATGGTGCCGCTCAGGGCTTCTCCGTCCTTGGGAGCCTATCATTCTGTCTCACCTGCTCAGTCAGCTACTCAACCACGGGGAAAGGGAGGTCTTCTAACCGTCTCTCCTCTCGGTCTTAATGGGTTCATGTCTTCTTTTAAATCTATGTTTGTATTCACTTTTTAAAACTCATTTTGAAATTAACAAATATTTTGTTAAGGAAATATGGAAAACAAAGTGTTAAACATAAAATTAAAGCCAGAGATAGTTTTAATGAGTTGAGCTGGATTGATCCTTCAAACTTGTTCATGAGTCGTGATCATTCTTTGTTGTTATATTATTACCTATGAAAACTGTTTCAGAATGCTAACATGTAATCAGTTACAGGTTTAATGTGGTTTGGTGATTACGTTATATGTATTAGCACAAATGAGTCGTAGATTTTTAATGGTAGAATTTCCTTTGTGTACAATTTTAATAGAAAATTTAAGTCAGTAAGTAGGAGATCAAATTATTTTGAAATTATAAAAAGCCATATTATTGGGTTGGCCTTTGAAAATACGTAACAGATTAAAAATTCAGTGTAAAGATGATTTAAATGACCCTTGCGACGCCCTCTCTGTTTTTTGTGTTTTTTTTTTTCCTGAACTGATGTTCGTAATTATCGCGAGCAGACGCTGGCATACGGGGACATGAACCACGAGTGGATCGGCAACGAGTGGCTGCCCAGCCTGGGCCTCGCGCAGTACCGCAGCTACTTCATGGAGTGCCTGGTGGACGCGCGCATGCTGGACCACCTGACCAAGAAGGACCTCCGAGGGCAGCTGAAGATGGTTGACAGCTTCCACAGGTGTGCTGCTGCACGTTGGCCCTTCCTGGTTGGCTAAGAGATGTTTGCCCACTGCCACGGCTAATTGTGTTTTGTTTTGTTTTGTTTTTGGTTTTTGGTAACAGAAACAGTTTCCAGTGCGGAATTATGTGCCTGCGAAGGTTGAATTACGACCGTAAAGAGCTAGAGAGAAAAAGAGAAGAAAGCCAGAGTGAAGTAAAAGGCTAGTACATGGCATTTAATTTATGCAGCGTGTGTTAACAGCCTCGGTGATTTCCTACTTTTTAAAAACAGGAAAGGCTTGAAGTGGAAAAAAGTAGTCTGGCATCATTACAGAGGAGGGAGAGATGATCCCTTTCTGCGGCCAGAGACCCTGTGCCCGTTTTCTCGTGCTTAACGTCAGTCTGTAGGTTCAGGGTCTCCGGGTAAACATTCTTCCTGTGACCTTAGACATTTCCTCTTACGAGGATACACGTCCTCTTTTGTTCAGAAAAGCTGCTACACACCATTAGAGAGCAACAGAGCAGAGGTGAACAGGCCCCTGCTGTGTGCGTCTTGGTGTGAGTGTGAAAAGTACTGCCCTGGCTGTCTCTCCAAGGACTCGAGGGGCCCACAGTAGCATAGCGTGGTTCTTCTTCCTGTGGATGAGGGAGCGGTATGGGGTCAGCGGGGCACTTGGGCCTCGCAGACAGGGTTGGGGGGGCCTCTTCTGGGGCGCGGGGGTGGGGGACAGGCACAGGCATTTCGAGGAGGGAGCAGGCCCAGGGGCGTATAAGAGGACATGGTGCTCAGCCAAGAGAGCAACACCCAGGGCACCTCTAACTGAGCAAGTGTAGTAGTTTGTTTTGTGACAAGACGTTAACGATTAAGCTCAACGTAACCTCTCCCCAGATTTTCAGTATAAAGAAATCACTAAGAATGGTAAGAGCAGATCGGACTTACCAACTCCAAGCAACAAAGTACACTTATTTAATCCTTGCCCGGCCCCGTGAGTTGTTTTCATCTCGTGTTTACTAAGAAAGAAAGGTAAAAGTGTGGTTACGAAGGGCACCTGGTGTTCAAATGCAGGTTGAGCATTCAAATTCTTGGAAAAGCCTCAGCTCAGGGTTTGTAAGCCCTGTGTCATGCTCTGTGCTGACAGTGTGGAAAGCCTGTTTGGGATTCTCCCCCTCCTGTGCCCCTCCCCAGCTGCTGCTCCAGCCTGGCCAGTCGCCAGGTTCAGTCAAATAAAGAAGTAGGGGCACCTGGCTTAGTCAGTTAAGCCGCCTGACGTCACCAAAATACACATCTCTCACTGTTCTGCAGGTAGCAGGTTTGAGCCCCCAGCTTGTGGCTCTCCTATGCTGACAGCTCACATGTTGGAGCCTGCTTTTGATTCTGTGCCCCTCTCTCTCTTCAATGTCCCCCCCCCCACACAACTGCACAATATTAAGACATTTCAAATAAATAGACTTTAAAAAATGTGGCTGGAGGGGAGCCTGAGTGGCTCAGATGGGTTGGGTGTCAATTGGCTCAGGCTCAATGATTCGATTCATGAGTTTGAGTCTCAAGGCTCAGGCAAGCACACACTCCTTGAGCAGAGCCTGGAGACTGCTTGGGATTCTGTGTCTTGCACTCTCTCTCTCTCTCTGCCCCAACGCTTTCTCGCGCTCTCCCTCTCTCTCCCCCCCACTCTGTCTCTGTCTCTCTCTCAAAAGTAAATAAGCATAAAAAAAATGGCTGGGAAGATAGCCCATTTGAAGGGTAGTCTAGCCATGATTGAGTTAGTGTGAGTCACAAGAAACACCATAAGACACTATCTGTGATACATGTTCTGTACATATATAATATAACGTATGTAACATATAAACGTAGTAACGATCTGTAAGTATTTTACGTGTGTCCGTGTGTGTATATCTGTCCTTTTACCTAGAAGAGGACCTTGGAAATGAACTAGGTAAATGTGTTTCATTTATTGTGTACGTCCATTTTAAATCTTTTCACGGTTGACAGAAGCAGTCTTTCAAAGTAACTGGTGATCATCTGGTGATTTTTAGATCTCTCCTAATGCAAATGCAATATTTATTACTTTGCGTAAACATGAGGTCTCCCCTCACAGTCTCTAATATGCTGGATAGCATCTTCAAGTTTCTGGTTTCCCAATGAGTCAAGAAAACGGGCTTCACGACTGTAACTGAGAGGTTTGTGTTCAATCCACAAGGTGCCCAGACACGGGGCCAACACGTCTGATGGGAGGACGGTTTTCCAGCAGACACGCAGTCTGTAGATGAAGCATAGTCTTGCCTCGTGTGTCCTTCTGGTTCCCGATGCCTGGGCCCTGGTCATTTTGTATTCTCTAGAAAGTCATGTTCATGAGAACTTCCTTGTTCGAGAGTTTCCTCGAGGAGTGGGTTCCGATGGGACGGTTTGCATGAGGCTGGTGAGGGGCCAGGACGACAGCGTGTGAGCGCAGCAGGGGCCGTCTGCCCACCTGGCGGTGCCCTCCGTGCCCGTTTGGGTCACGCCTCGGGTCGGGACCCGGAGGCTCAGGGCGCACAGCGGGGATCCCTGTCCTGCGTTACAGGGTGTGGATGTGATGGAGAGAGCTTTCTGCAGCCGCTCTGACCATCGGTGTTTACTGTCTGCAGATGTGCTGGTTTGGAGCAATGACCGAGTGATTCGCTGGGTCCTGTCGATTGGCCTTAAAGAGTTTGCCAACAATCTCATAGAGAGTGGCGTTCACGGTGCGCTGATGGCCTTAGATGAGACCTTCGACTTCAACGCCCTGGCGCTTCTGCTTCAGATCCCGACCCAGAACACACAGGTGACGCCGGGCCGGCCGCGCCCGCCCGCCGCTCTCCTGCTGGAGACCCTGCGCCCTGTATTTGAGCGAGGCAGCGCGTGGCTACACCACACAGCTAGGCCTCTCTCCGTGAGCCTGGGCTGTGCTGTGCGGCCCGGAGTCCACGGTGCTGCCTCCTCCTGCCTGAGCTCTGCCTGTCCCTTCCCGTCACAGGCTCTTGAGCCTGGCGTGCATTGAGCCCTTACGTGGAGAGAGAAGCACTCTTACTTCCGTGTGTCACATGGAAGTTTCGTGGATTCTGTTTCTGATTTCCCTGTGGAATTTTTTTTGACTCATGGGCTCACTGGAGAGTCAGGAATTTTTTATTCTTCTTCAGAACACTATACACCTTTGGGAACGCCCTCAAGTCTCCCCACTGGAAACACCCCCCCCCCCCCCCCCCCCCCCCGCCCCACCACGACACCCTGGTCTAATTTCCCAGGGAGCATGGACCCCTCTCCCCAAAGGCCCATTCCCGTAGGCCTCCTGGGGGGCTCAGTCGATTAAGCGCCGGACTCTTGGTTTCAGCTCAGGCCTTGATCTCATAGTTTGTGGGTTTGATCCCCATGTCAGGCTCTGTGCTGACAACGTGGAGTCTGCTTGGGATTCTCTCTCTCCATCTCTCTCTGCCCCTCCCCTGCTCAGCTCTGTCTCTCCCCCCCCCCCACCTCTCAAAAATAAATAAAGCCCATTAATGGACTTCACATTAAAATCCTTATTTAAAATACAGTATTAGGATTCAAGGCATTCATCCCTTGGGTTTTTTTAAAATTTTTCCAGTCTTGGTTTAAAAATAATTGCGATATGCTAACATCCTTTAGATTGACATAACTTTTGGGCTGTTGGTTTATGATTTCAGGCTCGTGCCGTCTTGGAAAGGGAGTTTAACAACCTTTTGGTCATGGGGACGGACAGAAGATTCGATGAAGTAAGTTTTCCACCTAATATCTAAATTTCCATTAACTGTAAATTATTAATATTTGGGGGTACCTGGCTGGCTCAGTTGGAGGAGCATGGGACTCCTAATCTCAGGGTTGTGAGTTCAAGCCACATGTTGGGTGTAGAGATTACTTAAAAGTATAATCTTTAAAACAAAAAATAAATGTAGGGGCACCTAGGTGGGTGGCTCAGTCAGTTAAGCGTCCGACTTCAGCTCAGGTCATGATCTCATAGTTTGTGGGTTCGAGCCCCGCATCGGGCTCCGTGCTGACAGCTTGGAGCCTGGAGCCCGCTTCAGATTCTGTGTCTCCTTCTCTCTCTGTTCCTCCCCTGCTCGTGCTTTGTCTGTCTCTCTCTCAAAACCAGATAAAGATTAAAAAAAAAATTTTTTTTAATAAAAAATAAATGTAGATTACTAAATTTGTAGGAGCCATGTATCAGATAACTCTTGCAAATGTGGAGATAATTTTACTTTACAACTTAAGCTTTGCTCTTAATTTATTAACAAACGAGCCATTAGGGCTACTGGGTGGCTCAGTCGGTTAGGTGTCTGACTTCCGCTAAGGTCACGATCCCCCTGTTTGTGAGTTCAAGCCCTGCATTGGGCTCGCTGCTGTCACCGTGGAGCCTGCTTCGGGTCTCCTGTCCCTCTTTCTCTCTGCGCCTCGCTCACACACACTCGTTCTCTCTCTCTCAGAATATAAAAAACAGGGACACCTGTGTGGCTCAGGCGGTTAAGCATCTGACTCTTGGTTTTGGCTCAGGTTATGATCTCTCAGTTGTGAGTTTCAGCCTCACGTCTGGCTCCGTGCTGACTGCTGAGTCTGCTTGGGATTCTGTCTCCCTCTCTCCCTGTGTCCCTCCCCCACTCATGCTGATTCTTTCTCAAAACTAAATAAATAAACTTTAAAAAAATAAAACAAAAAAACAAATGAGCTATTGAGAAACCAATATTTTCACAGAGAGATGGGTGGTTCGGTTTTTTTACTTTTTGCCATTTGACTTTTGATACTCTTCAGAAATATTTTTCGCATCATAACACGTTGGCTGCAGCCTGGGAATAGAGCCTGTAAGTTGTGTTTTGGGGGGCAGCAGGATATCTCGCTGCAACCCAGGGCCCTGTGCTCTGGGGGAAGGTTTCAGTCGTTTATTTGAAAAGACACGAAATGTCGCTTCCTCCTTCCACAAAACCAGGACCGATTTACCCCCACACCACTGCTTACGACTGTCTTCGTTGCCCTAAGAACACTTGGTGTGACGAGAGCAGGGCACGTGAAAGGGCGCTGCGGGGCCGTCCGCAGCCTGAAGACCGTTTCGAGAACAAAAACGTAGTATCTTTTACGGCAGGAAGGTGATTTCACGTAGACAGACAGTGGAGCGGGCCCAGGCGGCCCAGGACTGTCCTGACTTGTGCCCATCAGGGTCCCGGCACAAGTGTGGCCCTGCCTCCCTTCACCCCCTGGGGCTCCCGTCTGGGCAGGCGGCCCGGTGGCTGTCAGGAATGGGGGTAAATACGTGGAAACAAAACTGCGGAGTGAGGTCATTTTAAAGGGCTGGTAACTTTACTAGATATTTTTGTCTTTTATTTTACAATCGGTCTTGTTTTCTGTCCTTTAATTTCCCAGGACGATGATAAAAGCTTTAGGAGGGCACCTTCTTGGAGAAAAAAATTCAGACCAAAGGACGTTCGTGGCTTGGCTGCTGGGTCTGCAGAGACTCTCCCCGCAAATTTCCGGGTCACTTCCTCTCTGTCCTCACCCTCTATGCAGCCAAAGAAGATACAGCTGGACGGTACGTGACGTCCCACGCTGCCCCAGCCCCTCGGCGGTGGCACAGGAGGCTCGTTGGCTGGAACGTTAACAGTGGTGGAGAATGGTCGACCTGATGCGTAACAAGGCGTTCGGGTGCTGTGGCGTGCTCAGGCTTGAATGCTCTAAGATTAACCCCAATTCCGCTTCTCAAAGTCTCACAGCGATAGAGATTGTTTTAACGTTCCTATCTGGTTGAATATTAGCGTATTCTTCCAACTACTGAAGCTAGGCTTCGTGGGTGTCCCCTGAGCGTCGGACCAGCACCCACGCTTGCAAAGCTATGTATGTGATGGGCAGCCCTAGGGCGCTCGTTTATAAGATGGCAGCGCGGTGGCTTTCAAGCCGCGTTCCCCCCTCCCCCGCCCCCCCCCCCCAGGACTGCCCTCCACATTGCCCTCCACACTGGAGGAGTGTCTGGAGCACAGTTCCCACCTCCGTCCTTGTGCTGCTTCTCCGTGTCATAAGAGGATGGAGAGAAGGAAGAGGGCGAGCCTGGGCTGTCCTCATGGAGCGCGGCCCGTCCTGTGGAACCCACATCGGCTGTGTAGTCGCCACGTCGGGTCAGGCCGGCCATCAGCCCTTGACCATCCTTCTGCTTTGCGGCCACGGCTGATGAGTTGAGTGATTTGTAGGCCGATCTCCCGGCTCCGACTATGTCCCACTCAGTGACAGCATTGGGAGCCAGATGCCTGGGTTAGAGCCCGGCTCTGCCACGAGGGGGGTGCATGGCCTTGGGCCCTGGGCCTCAGCGTCCCCGTCTGTAGAGCGGTCGTCGCCCTGGTGTCTTCCTCGTTGGTTGGCTGTGATGGCTCAGTGAGTCCCTCACAGGAAGCTTTTGGACAGGGTCAGGCATGTCCCGTGGGCCGTTGCAGCGGTAGGCCTGTCACAGACAACCACGCTCGCCCTCGATGTTCTTGGAAAACTGTACGAAGGACGTGGTTGTAGGAATCGTACGGTGTGCTTGTTACAGTTTCCTGCTATTAGCCCTGCCCGTACTTGGGTTTGTGAGTTTTGCTCTCGCTCTCCTCTGTAAAAACCAGGGAGAGTAACTTATGTAAGGCCTTCACTGAGCTTTGAGTGAGGGCAGCATTTTCATTAAAAAACTCCTTCTCTTTGCCAGACTTCAGGAATATGCTTAATGAGGGAAAAACCCAACTTTTTAAAAAATAGCATTTTCCTCGTGGAGCCCATAGCTAATTTTTATAAGTTTTCGTTGTAACTTAGCCTCCGCTGGTCGGCTACCCTGACTGCCCTCTGATTTTCCTCACGGCCTTATTACCATCTCCATCTTCAAAAACCACGTCTTGCGGGTTAAGTGTCAACGGTGATGATTGGATTAGAGTTCGGGTAAACATAACTCTAGAAAAAGGCGTGGGGAGCGTGTCGCGTGGCAGGGGGCTCCACACCCTCGTGTGGTGAGTGAGCAAAGCCAGCACAGCGGGCGTCTTCGTGGCTTCCTGAAGCAGATTGAGTGCGGGGGGCCGCGGCGGGTCTCCCGGGACCTCCGCGTCGGGGGCTCATCCAGGTGGCCCGCGGCCGCCGGCAGCACAGCTCGGCCGAATATTGACAGGCTGTGTTCCCGCGGAACCTGCCGGAACACGGAACATGGACTCGGGAGCCACACACACCCGCTGCGGAGGTTGGAAAACTTAGCCGTGCGGGGCGTTTGTTGACAACAGAAGCCTCTGTTCTCACGCTGTTTCCGGCAGGAGCCGAGGCCGGGCTTCAGCGCTCTTAGCCAAGTCGCTGTCCCGCACCCCCTCCGGGGAGGGCAGAGCGGGCATCAGGACGGCACCGGACTCGGTTTACCTTCACCCTTCAGTGGGCCGCTGGCATTCACTGGGTCATTCACCGCATACTCTCCTTACAGAGGATCGTTAGGGCTGAGGGAAAAGTCCGGAAAAGTCGAGAACTCTAGAGGGTTTAGGGGGAAGAGAGTTACCGTGTCAGGAGTCGTCACGCGTGCAGGTGGACGCGGCCAAGTTGTTCTGGCGTCTGCCGCCCCGTTGCTGTTTTAGAGCGAACTCCCAGGGAGTCCCCAGGCCGCTTGGGGTGGAGAGAACCCCACTCGGAGGTGCCCCGGGAGCCCTCGGTGGGTGCTGCTGTGGGTTAGAATGTGCGCGGCTGTACGAGTGCCCTCGTGTGACGTTTTGAGACTAACCGCATGCTGTGTTTGCACGCCGCCCCTCGTGCTGCTGGTCGGAGCAGGCAGCGTTTCGGGACCGCAGAGGCTGGATTCCGCCACAGTCAGGACTTACTCCTGCTGACGCCCCCTGTGGTGAGTAGAGGGCACCGTCCGTGCAGGCCGCAGTCGGGCACCCGTGTCCTGTCCACGCGATGTCCGTGGGCGCCAGGAGAGCCCACGCAGGTTCACTTAGGGACTTTGGGAAATACACACACGCACAACACGAGCCTCTCTGCACCTGCTAAGAGGATCCTGGGGTTTGTGTGTGCTTATTACGCTTAACAAAGAGGTTGGTGTGGCCTCAGGTTTTCAGGGGAAAACTGTATTTCCACTCTTTCCTTAAACAAAAGAAGTTTGGCTTCAACGTCTGCTAATGTCTTTTGGGGTAGGGAGGCAGGATTGCAGCCGGAGCAGAAGGGAGCTGCTCTGAGCTGAGATGACCACCGCTCCCCCCCCCCCACCGGTGTTCGGGAGCACATGGCACTCGCCTCTGCCTGGCCTGGAGGAAGCTCCCAGGTCAGCAGGCGCTGGCTGGCTTGTTTTAAATACACCTTCCCGAATGAACCAGGCCCCAGCGGATTTAATACCGTCATCACGTGAGTGACGGCGATAGCCTCTCAGTTGAGAGATTGGTTTTTAAAAACGGAACAGCATTACCATCTGAGGGGCTGAGTTTGAACATGGAGATTTCGGATGTGGGCCCAGGAGCCCAGCCCTCTTCTCCCCTGCTCTGAGCGGGGCGGCTTTGTTCTGCTGTTCTTCTGTTTTCCTGTCTCAGCCAGAATATTTGATTGGTGGGGGCTCCTGGCTGGCCCAGGAGGTGGAGCCTACAACCCTTGATCTTGGGGTAGTGAGTTTGAGCCCCACATTGGGGGTGGAGATGACTTAAAATCTTTAAAAAAAAAAGAATATTTGATTGGATTCTGTATGTTGTTTTTTTTTTTAATTGGTTACTTTTAGTCATATGCCAGAATGAAGTCAATCAAAGAATTCTCGATATGCAAAATGTTCACGTTTTCTCTAAATTCTCGAAGCGCTTACAACAGGAAGGGAGGGGCGCGTGTGCTGGGCCCCACCTGGGGCCCTGGAAAGTGCTGTTCGGGCTGCTGTCTTAAGAGTCGTTCTCTTGCTTTTATTTTCCAGTTTACCCACACTACTTCTACCGGTGATCACACAGCACTCTGAGTCCGGAGGGGACTACATTTTAAAGTTCAGCGGGATCTTTAATCTGTTAATACTTGTTATATGGACCCTGAGATATTTTATTACAGAGTTTTTAATTAGTGAAGAATTCATGAATACCATAGAGAAAATATTTTAGAATTTAATGTTTCTTATATTTATGTAAACTTATGACTTCTTTTATATAGTTACTTACTTTTCCATGTATATCCAGGCTATAAATATCCTTTCCAATCAATTCATGTTCTTCTATCTAAGTTTAGTCTTTCAAACGAATGTACTGTAATGCTTGTATGTATAAATCCTATGAACAAATATAGGGCTTTTGTAAATTATGCATTTATTGTAATTATCATTGTTTAATTTTTTATTAATAAACCCTGACAGAGAAAAGGATTTTACCGCGTTTGTAAAATCATCGTGACACAGCGTGCATTTTCCTTTACAAATGTCACGTACAATCATTTTGAAATAATCAGACTTAATTTTGAGCAATTGTTGTATTTTAATGACTGACCTTAACTACACTTTTTCTAGCAAGAAATGCTTTATTCTGCAGTGTGAACAGATTAAAAATATCTGGTGTTAAATATCAGCTAATAAAACTGGGAGTGGAAGGGTTATCGGAACACTACGAGCATCTCCTAGGACCGGTGAGCCCTTTCAGAGCCTTGTCCCTGGGGGCTTGGGCAGCTTTTGCCTGGAGTGACCGGCAGGACCCGGGAGCTGAGGACCCAGAAAGCCTGGGCAGGGGGGCCTGGGCACCCTGAGCTCCCTGGCCCCAGAACTCTCAGAGGACCAATCAGGAAGCACTGGGCTCCCACCGTGGGGCAGGGTGCTGGGTGCCCACCCAGGAGGAGGGCGCGAGATCCTGGAAATAACGTAGTGCAACTCTAATAAAGGCCTTATTGTTCTTACGGAAATCAACTTTTTACATTTGTTTGTAAACATGTTTAAAGAGTGGACCTCGTCGTCCATTTGTAGATTTTGATGCGACAGCCATTTCGGTTTATAGAAGTAGCAAATGTAACTTACTTTTCATGCGGCATATTAAAAAGCCAGCAAGAAATGTGCTCAGATCATGGTGTGTTATTTATTATGCAGCTGATACAGAGATAGAAACGGCATGTCTTTTTACATTTGGTTTCTGCTTTTAATTTACTTGTACAATTGACCGTTTCCGTTCTGTTTTTCTATTAATCTTTTGTGAACTTCCTGATTGTGTAACAAAGTATGTACAGTCTACTTTTGAACTATTTTTATCACAGTATTATTTATTGCTGTCTTTCAATACAGTAGTGAAGCGTTTCCCACTGCCAATAAAGAATACTGAGCATAAGCTGCCGTTACCTTGAGAAGTGGCTGCCGTGGTTTTCTCTCGTGCTCTGGGCCACGGAGGCACTTTTGCCACGTGGAAGGCCTAGTGTGGAAACCAGCTGATAGAATAACACAGCTGGAAGGTGGACGTACAGGATGGGGGTGTCCTCCGGAGGAGGGCCGGGTGTCCGTGCCCCAGAGGAAGCGGCCCCGGAAGATCCGTGCAGCTGGGGGCCCAGGCGATAGGCCAGCAGGGCCAGGGGACTGGTCCACGGACAGGGCCGGCTGAGGCCGCCCCTCCTCCGGGCCGACAGGAGGCAGCGGTGTGTGTGCGCGTGCGTGCATCCGTGGGCACACGCACGCCTTCCACCCTGTCTCCGCTCCGCTTCCATCCTCCGTGTGGGCTTTCCTCTCCTGCTGCTGTCCTCCCAAGGTCACAAGACGGTGCCCAGGGCCGCGTCCTTCCCCATCATCTCAGCCCCTGGGAACCTGCCGGGCTGCTTCTCCCGTAGCTCAGACCCAGTCCTGAGTCCCATACCAGTCGGCGTGGCAGAGGGGAGGGTCCGCCTGCACTGGGGTTGGCAGCCCTCACGAGGCCACCTCGGGCGGCTCTGGCACAAGCTCCCCGATGGCTCAGGTGACCGGACGGTTCCCTCCCTCTGTGCCGCGTAGAGCGTATGGCCATCCGGTCCGGGGATGGACGCCCTGGGCCGTGGGCCGTGGGGGGTGGGCACTGCTGGATGGCTCGGTTCTCACCTTCCTGTTCTGTGTCTCCTGCCAGGGCCGACCGGCTACTCCCGTGAAGGCCGCGTGTTTTCTTCATGTGGGGTCATACTTTCGGTCTCCGGTCCCTCAGGGCATAGGTAGGTCACTCTGTGTCTTCCTGTTCAGAACCTGTGCTGGCTGATCTTTATTTTCTGCATTTCCTCCTAGTCGTTAGTGTGAAGTGTGAGATTTTTTTTTTATTGTTTTTTTATTTATTTTTGAGACAGAGAGAGACATCATGAATGGGGGGAGGGTCAGAGAGAGAGGGAGACACAGAATCGGAAGCAGGCTCCAGCCTCCGAGCTGGCAGCACAGAGCCCGACGCGGGGCTCGAACTCACGGACCGCGAGATCATGACCTGAGCCGAAGTCGGACGCTTAACCGACTGAGCCACCCAGGC